AATAAGTAATAACTTTGAAACGGTAAAAATTTGCAAAAAAGAATTGACCTCGACGTGATTTGAACACGCAACCTTCTGATCTGGAGTCAGACGCGCTACCGTTGCGCCACGAGGTCTCCTACAGCAAACTATGCAAACTTGTTTATTTAAGCAAACTCTCCGCCAAACATTAAATATTTTTTGTTGTCAATTGTATATCAATTACCACTCCATAAGTATCATTCAATTAGGTCACTGATTTAAAAATTATTTTTTCCCAATATTATAAATAAATAATTCCGTACAAAATGGTTACTTATTTTCAAGCTATTTTAGTTTTGGTGGTTTGTGACAATTTTGACTTGCCAAATCAGAACTTTAACTTTGTTACTGAAAATTATTATTTTGCAACAAAAATTTAAAATTAGCAACTCGAAATTTCTACTTTGTGAAGTAGGTATCCTATGGGATTTATAAGGTGAAGTATAACAAACATTCACAGCCAACGCCCACCGGCTCCGGTCGTTTAATTTTTTTAATATATATGAAAACATATTTGGTTATTGTGTGGGATAATAAAAGACAAAATTAATTCAATTCCATCATGTCATTAGGTCATCATTCCTCATTATTTCTTAACTTCAAAGTTAGAAAATATAATTGATTTCTAATAATATTGTTATCATACGATATAACATAAAATCGATATTATTATTTATAATAAAACATTTACGAAAGCCAATGATTTGAAAATTAACGACTGAATATAATAAATATTATTATTGTGTTATACAAAGTTTACTATAGAAATGAGTACTTTTTTTGTTGTTTATAAATGGTTGCCATTTGTTACTCGAGCAGAGTCGAGCTGCTAGTTTGAAGCTTAAATATATAGCCATATAGGTAATAGGTACTCAAAAACTACTCACTGATTTTTCCGAAAACATTGTTGATTGTTCTAAGATTTATCAGAAAAGTGTAGAGCCACATTAAAAAATATAGATTCCAAGTGCTAAATCCAATCGGTTCAATTAGGTTAAATTATTTCACAAAGCAAGGTACACCGATTTCCCCATGAACTCAGGTACACTATAAAACCGAGATACACCTATACGGCACTGTATTTTTTATTTATTATTTTTTTTCCAGGTCAAAGTCTGGTTATACAGCAATTCATTACATACAAATTGTACATAGTATATATTCAAATAATTTTACCTATCCGCTTTGTGCGACACTAGGCGTTATTACCGTGCTAGGACATCCGCAATCAAATCGTTAATCAAATACCTGAAATCGTTGAATTACTATTGGATTGATTATCGAAGGTCGGATAATTTAGTTTTAAATTTATAAATACCTATTTATGTATTATGTTATATTTACCCAAATGTTATGTTCTATTGATACGATTATCAATCAACTTTGGTTGTGTAGTAAAATCGAACAAATCGATTGATAGTAGCTTGATGGTACTTATGTAATGGTATAATGACTTAAGTACCCATCGCTTTAATAAGTTATTTTATTGATACCAACTCGATTGTATGTAGTATTAGTAAGAGATTTTCATAAAATAAATATTAACTCGAGTACAACACGATTTTCAATATTTAAAGTTTAAACATATACACTGTTTAAAAAGAATAACGTTATTTTATCTATTTGAATCGTAAACATACTAAGGTAATATAAAAAGTTATTTCATAATACACACACTTAAATATTTAATGACCTCATCAATTTTTAATGCCTGAATTGTTCAATTTTATTCTTTAAATCATTATAAATCTTAATATGAATTAACTGAATTAGTTATTGATTCGTATTTAAAACGCACGATAAAGCTGTAACATGTATTATCTTTTCGTGTACATACTACAAGCACGATTGTTGCGCAAAGAACAAGTTACAAAACATTTTGCTGCAGTTTCAAAAAAATCAAAAGACCTGTACCATGTCTAATCATTTTATGAATCAGTAGTGAGCTAATGGTCCCTTACACTACTTAAACATAATTATCCCATGATTATCCATTAAATTATATTGAACCATTACATTATTCAACTTTTCACTCAACCTAAACATTTATGACCTATGTATTAGGTAGTTATGAAAAATATAAATTTTTAGTAAAAGAATAATACATTATTATTATCTGATAAATAGTAATTAATAAAAAGATATTGAGCAAAATTCACACGAAAATAAATGATTACTAAAAACAGAGGTTTATTAGTATATTTTAAATGTTTAACCCTAGAGACAGAATTTTTAACTATTGTTGATAACAAATTTTACTTTGTCAAAAAACTTGAAAATTTAATATTTTTAATTCTTCCTACAGAAATTAAAAAAAGCTTTTGCGAAAAGCCACAACAATTTTTATTAACAATTGAGAAGTTCAAATGTCGATGAAATTAGATATTTAAACAAAAATGTTTAATTAAAATCTAAAAGTAATTTTCGTTGGGACTTTTACGTAGGTGTATTATTATTTACCATTTTATTCTAAATTTAGATAATTTTAATCTATTTATACCGAGAACATATTTACACTGTTCTATTGTACGTCATAGTATTGAATCGATTTCCAAGTTTTTTATTAATTTTACATTAGGTTACAGTGTCATATTGTATATTTAACATAGATAAAATATTTTTAAAAAGTAATTGGAATAAATCTTTAAAATTTAACTATTTTTTCCGTCGATTGATTTATTTTCTCTATTAATTGTATCTCCTATTTTAGTTTAAAATATTCACACTTTCACGATTCATATGTGAACCTTAACAAATAATTTTATTTGTTTACTTAACAATTGAAATAGTATGGTTACAGACTACAGTAAGACACATAATGTGTATATAAGTATGTACGTATAACCTCTAAAACTCTTTTACAGCTTGAAATAGTAAATTATTATTTATTTTCACTAACTACTTAATAAATAACACTCTGAACACAAATACCTATATTAGTTTAACGTATCATTAGTATCAAAGGTTCATGATTTGTTTCCATGCTTAATTATGATGTTTTAGTATATTCTCACATAGGTATTGGGAAGGAATAAAAATACGTTAAAATAAAACCAAAAAAAGTTTTAACTGCCTATATACAAATAAAATAAACATACGATTAAGTTGTCAATTTGAAATATGTGCCTTAATATATTTTCGAAAAAATATTAGGGAAAAAAAACCATCGTAATCTGTACGCAGTATTATTATGAAGTAATTTATTCAGAAAATCTATCATTCTTAATTTCGTAAATTCCAAACAAAATGTAGTATGGTATGAGTCTTCAATTTTCCTCGCAGAGGAAAAATATCTAGTAGAGTGCTGCTTAGAAATTTAAAAATAAAAACAAAACTAACTAAAACGAAAACAACACGGAGAACTTGTTATTTTATATAATTTCAAGATGAATAACCTCCACTGCTTCTTCAGTCTGTTATTTCCAAATAATCATTTTATTTTATCTATTTCCATCATATAAGCTTTTGTTCAATTTTTTTAACAAGTAGCCTGCTAATAAAGAAGTTTGATGAAAACAAATTTAAAAAAATATTGTCATATACAGTAAACTGTTATATAAATTGGATTTACTCAATTGTATTTTTAAAAGTTGTACAGAAACATGCAATCATGACCCTTTCTAGAAATGTGTGCAGAAATAGGACACGTGTTGTGAATATATGTACACAAACAACTATAGAAATAAGTTACAATTATTGGAGAGATCATCATTTTTAAATTATTAAATACAAAAATAAAATATGTCTTCCTTCTCTTAAACGACTATCATTAATACAATTTCGTAATGGATACTTTAAAAATTCTTGGTTTTGCCTTATGTGTATAATACGCTTATGGCTTATATAAGTACCCTTATACTCATTTCCAGTAAATCAAGATGGCGAAAAAAGATAGTATTTTACATTGTTAAATGTTTATTCCTATAAGTTATTATCTTGTACAGTTAGAAACAAACCAAAACTAAAATGGCTAATATTTGTCGAGGAACAATAAAGTCAGTTATTTGGATCACTTAAAAAATTTAAATTCTCAGAGGATGTATATATAATATGCATGAAGTAATACATATCTTACTAATTATTTAGAACATAAGTATTATAGAGAATTTAGATCAATACATTTCTGTGTTCTTAAAAAAAAAAGTGTTGATATAATTTGAAGTCCTTGTTTCGTTGAGTTGCCTTGTCTAACACGAAATGTTTGCACAAGTAATATTTTTAAGCTGATTGACCATGGTCTGATATTAGCGGTCTAGGTTCTTACTGAAATTGCAATATTAATGTTGCATACAAAATTTCGTTTAATCAAATATTCGAATGCCATAAACCATGATTATCATATTAAATTTACATTCGTTTATATGTAAACGCTGTAAACCCATGTACAAATTGATCAAATAACTACGTACAAAAAATAGAGATATCATATATAAGTATACGTTAAGTACGTATATACATTTTAATATACAGGGTGATTCGTCAAACACGCTAATCCCCATTTTTCCTTTAATAATGAATTTATTCAGATTGTGATTTTTGAAAATTTTATAAATATAATTAAAGACCATAATATTTTCTAATTCTTGAGACTTTTGTACTACTTTTAAAGAGTGTGCTGTGGCGAAACAATCATTTGCTTTTCAAACGAGAACCCCATATTTTATTGTAAATAATAATTATAAATTATTTTTCTGAAAATGTTGATGCACCTGATTCAAATTTTGGAAGAGTATGTAGTTAATAATTTATTGAAATGTTCAGAGTAAAAATAATATATAGTCTTTAAAAATATTATTACAAAAATAAAAATTAGAGATACCTAATAAGTAATATTTTGGTATATTTAAAAATTCAGAAACTCGGGTTTTGAATAACTGCTCAATTAAAGGAGAAAGAAGGTGGGCATGCTTGGTGAATCATCCTGTATATACTATTCTCATACTAGACATGAAGTGTAAACCCACTTCGGGCGTATATATAATACATATGTACTCTTTCGCACTTGTTGCATATCCGCCACGAGCCGCGGTTATCACGCGTACTCTAACTTAGAGCAGCTACAGTTGTCATCGTCGTAAGCTTAGTTATATATTATTATACGCGATCACACCATCGATACGAAGTTTTCCGCGTCCAACAATTATTTTTTCTTTGGTCGGAGTTTTTTTTTGGTTTGAGAGTGTTATATAAAAGTACGTTTGTTTCTTCACAAAAATCGGTTTGGACTCCATCGAAATGAACATCGACAGCGTGCTCGTCACTGTGGGCATGGGCCGTTACCAGTTCGCGGGCTGTGTGCTTTTCGGTCTCATGATAATGTATTCGAACGTGTCACCGGTCACCTACGTCTTCACCGCCGGTGATTTGAAATATAGGTAAACACATTTATTATATTTAATAAAATGCCTTATTCTTATGTAACCTTTACGTTAACAAGTTGTACATACACATATTATTAGATATATATCTATATGGCGTATATAACAATTCAGTGTTTGGAATTTCACTATAACGAGTACAAAAATCGTATTTTTCAAAAAAAAATAATATATATATAATATTTATATATACTAAAGACGTTAATCTGGTCGTTAATTAAAATTGTTATTTAATAAATATTTAAATAAAACATCGAGAAGGCATACATATTTTTGTTGGGAAAAACTGTTATGTATGTAATGAAGAATAACTATTAGCTAAATAAAATAAAATATCTATAACTAAATCCAATATAATTTCTGGGGGACCAAATTGATAAAAATTTAAATCAATTTGAGACATACAAATATGATGCAAAGTAATATATTTAAAACATTTTCTAGAAGGTAGGTTATAGTTTGAAATGTAAACTGTAAATTCAAATTCTTACCCTATTTCTAGTACTTATTAAATCCAGATAACTAATACAATTTTTTTTAAATATTTTCAACTATAAAATGTATACATTTTAGTCTTAACATACATAAAATAAATAACAAATAGGTGATTGATTATAAACGATATGTTTACAATCTGAACCCGTGCAGCAGTTCGTTGTCCTTTAAAAATATCAATTCTATATGATTCAAAATTTGTGTTCAATTCATCATTTAATTCCGACATTTTGTTTAGTTCAAAATTCACCCCATTTGAATCTCCATTAAAGATTTATAAGTCATCTTTTGGTTGTAATGACAGCCGAAGTTGAAAAATATCACTGCTACGTGACCAACCAACCGTGTTTTGTATATTATACTCAACGATTTGTTGAGTACGAATCAAATGCACACAGAAAACATTATCACCCGCTGCACAATGTATTTTTTAATTAAATGGACATATTTTCAAAAAATTTTCTTTTTTTAAATGCCATTGTGTCGGTATAGTAAAAGATATGCAGTGGACAGTGGAGAAAAGCTTATGCTCCCCACGAATTATTTTTAAGTTACATCAAAATAACTAAAATCATTATTTTGCGTTGAAATATGCAATTTTGTAAGAATTTAAACTTGGAATGGATATATGAAAAAATGTCATATAAAATGGTATTTTTGAACATCTGTAAGTGCAAGAAAAACGTATGGAAAATCTTATAGTATGATTTTTTATTTACAAACAAACATGCAATCAGCAAATAGGTAAACAAATTGGAAAAAAAAGTTAAAAGACCTAGACAATTTTAATCAGTAATCAGGAATATTGTATTCTAAAGGCGTTCAAATATTTTTTCCCATAATTTCAAAACAAAAAAAAAATATTAAACCTAGAATTTATAATTTGAAAACATTATTTTTCATTTCATTCAAAATACGAGTATTGGTGACCTACTGCTTATGATTTTTATAGGTACATAACATAATACATTTGTAATTCTGATTTCAAAATATCACTCTTTATGTGAATACTTTAACTGACAATATTACTTTCAATTGTTTAAAACATTTTCGTTTTTTACATTAAATGTCTGCTTAAATTATACTGTTTTCTGAGTTTTAAAAACAAAATTTAAATTTCATTTTTCACATTTAATACTGCAGTAGTGGTATCAATGTATAAAATATACGCTATACAGTTCCAAGTGCATTTATATTTAAGTTCTGTGAAAATAATTAAAGAGTAAAGACACAACCCGTCTCGTTAAAATTGAGTACCTAGTAGAAAATAAATGACATTGGGTAAATATCAAAACCATACTTACGTCTTACTAAGTCTCTGCGTAGTTTTCCATGTAGTTATGTACTTAAACACTCGTATACAACCATAAACGTTTAAATGTTAACAGAATCGTTTTCTGTCTAGTGTTTGCCAATTTATTATTATTTGAAAAAATAAATATGATATTATTATTTACCATTGACCATTGACCTGATGTTCAAGCAGTGATCACTGATATTCAATGTTCTTTATTTTACATTTAAATTAAATTTTTACAACCATACTTAAATATGATGCGTTATATTTAATTAATATAATTTGAAATAAATCCTTAACTCAAAACAAATAAAAAAATCTTTAACCATAGTATTTATCTTTCACTTTTGGGGTATCACGATTAACGTTTATTCTATCGAAAAGCTTTAAAGTGCAATACAAAGTTCATAAGTTCTTCTTACAGAAGTTTATAACATGCCTTTTTAGTTTTTATATATGTGCTTAAAATTTCAATTTTGATAAAATTAGATAAGTATTTAAACGAAATTTTTTTAGTCATTTTGTTGCTTTTGTTGATCGTGAAAAATTAAAAAATTTTGCCATAACATTTATATTATTATTTTAAATATTCCTATCATGAATTTATACTAATTTAAAGTTATTGATACTATATAAACCTATTCACACCTAATAAAATATGGTACATCGATATTGACTATTATAAGTTATAAGTTATAAAATACACTGATGTATTATAAGTTATATTGTAAAAAATTAGTTCAATTTATTATAAAATAAAATTATACGTACTATTACATTCAGCATAAATACACTATAATGTAATATTTATCATTGATTTAAAATTAAACATGTCCATTTCAAGACCTTCCTAATTATGAAGTACACTCAATATCTTTTGTCCAGCAGAATGAGCCCCCGGTTTTTTCTTTTTTTATACAAAATTGTAATACTTTTATAATAGCAAGCGACCGACTGTCTAGGGTGTCGAGTGTTTTGTGTATTATTGGTAAAATAATGAATTGGCCACCTAAGAAAATAATAATAACAATTACATTTTTGTGTTCTAGACGCTGAATCCTCCTGTGATAAATATTTAAATATAAAATATAATCTTCTAAGTTTTATTTCTTAATATAATATCTACCTATCAATTATATTTACGTATTCAGCGTTTGTTTCAATCGTTTTGTGAATAAGTATACATGTTCATTTCATTGCTATTATTAAACTGCAATATTCAACCCAACTTACCCTTATAATATTATAATATAACGAAGTGCCTTAATATAGGACCTTTATAAAGTAATCGATTTACCGATTTCCGTTTGAATTTATAATACATTATTTATTAGTTTATTAAACTGTAAATAAGACTCCTTATAGTTCCAGTATTCCACACCTAAAATCATATTTAACTCATTGTAATTGTAAAATAATTATACTCAATTATCTATTCTATAATATTCTATTCATTCTAACTATTATACAGTCTAAGTAACTTTGTCAGATAACGCTTTTCGAATAACCTACACCAGATAATTTTCTATAATTTAACAATTCCCTGAATCATATAACGATTCCCTGAATCTAATAATAATTCTATCATCCCCCACTCTTCAGAATATGTTCATTCGTAATATTATGAATAATATTAGGTATAGAATTTTATTTAATACAAAGATTATTCATTTATGAGGATGTTAAACAATTTAAAAATGTGTACCGCTAATAGTCAGTAGATTTATTTTAAAAGTAGGTATTTAATTTTGATCGAACTCGGAAGTCTAAACTTTCCTATTTAAACATGGATTGTTTTAATTAGCAAATGTTCAAACAATTATTAACACTGAGTACTTAAAACAAAAATGATATGTTTACATTTAAAAGTCACTAATGGATGTGGTTTTAATAAATCGGTGAAAATCCGATAAAGTTATTATAAAGTTAGGCATTATGATATTATATAATAACTTCATTAAATCAAATATGAGACCATAATATTATTTATGTTTTGATAATTTTATCATGATTGGAGTACGTAAATAATTGTAAATATTCAAGTTCAGTAAAAACGATACACTATTAATCTACTCGTTGAAAACGAGTGGCAACTTATAATTAAATGCTATTAGATAAATGTAACTCTATATGTCACGTGACTATTAAACACCCACATTGTCACATATCGTAACTACACTTTGGTAGAAGCGTAATAGTTATAAGAATTTGTTCTAGAGAGGTTAATGATTAAAAATAATCGTCACAAATAGTTAAAAATCAACAAATTTATAATTCATCATAAAAATTATGTATACACTATTACTGAGACAGTGAGACCTCTGATTCACAGACAGTATAATGAACTCTTAACGACCTCGGGAGTTCTGATTAACTATATCATTATAACTAATTAATTGAGTATTATAAGGAACTTAAATAATATCATTTGAATAGAAACCAAAATGCCATTTATACTCAGTAGCTTATCAAACATGAGTATAAGAGATCTGATAACCACTGTGAAAAGTGTATCGTATTTACAAAAAAAAAAAAATTATATGAACCGATTACACATGCAGCAGGTTTCCATAGTCATAAACTCATATTATATCAATTTATAAATTGCAATTCGAAAACATATTATTAATTAAGATCATTGGAGACCGAAAGGATTGCACTGAACAATAACAAATTTTTTGATACCCTTAAAAAATATGTGGGCTAAGGATTTTTTATACAAACAATATTAATAAGGGTTGGCGATTTTTTAGTGTAGTTTTGATTTTTTTAAAATAAAAAAAATAATGCATATTAATTGGGTTTAGGTACATCCATTTTTTTTTAATACCGCGATAATAACTGGGTTACATCTTTTAAAATATGCAATTTCTAAAATCGTTTAATAAGTCCATCATATTACATTATACAACCATATTGCATCATAAAGTAGCTATTAGGAAAGGATGACATCGTTATCGATAAGTCTCAGGACAATGGAAAGATACCAGCGGTTAGTGGCGTCAAATCAGCATGAAATGGGGGGACATATTTGGTCCATTTTGAAAAAAATTGGACAAAAACTCATAAAATACAAAATATTCTACTAAATTTCCTTTTAAAATTATATCATTTATTATATAGGTATATAGGTACTATCGCCTATTAAATTTTGAGCGGAGGGATAAATGTAGCTGTTGTGATTTTACGATGATGTGATCTTTAGTTGGTACTTTAGATGGTAAAATTGTCTTAGTGATCGGGAAAAACTAATACAAATTACGGGAAAACAGAAATATTTTTGCAGAAACAATCAGGGTTTCATAATTTTCATTTTGATAAACTAAAGTATCTCATATTTATTAATTTTATTTTTTAATCTACTAGAATGTTACCCATAAAGTGCAACTAATTTAAATCAGAGATTTTCCATTTCCCGCTAAAATCGATCATTCAATTTACTACCAGTTAACCGAAGTATATTCTATACAACGGCTGAAAGGTCGATTTTGTCGGAAAAGTGGAACACTTGTCAATAATTTATTGTTATTTAGTCCGCACTCACCTGTCAGCGATTCGCGTCAAACGTTTGCCTTCATAATCCTTATTGCTACAACAGGTGCGCAGTACCGGGATGTGACTCACCCGACCTGGCTGAACGCACTTACGAACCGGAATGGTTGCGGTTCACGACGCCTTACCGGGAAGACACGGGACTGCCGCGCAAGTGTCAGCGGTATTCCAGGAATCCGGTCAACGGTTCACGATGCGCGCCTGGAGACTTCGACAGCAACACGGTGGAATTATGCAGTGGCGGATGGGTGTTCGAAGACATCGAGAACACCATCGGCACGGAGGTACATGGAATATGTATATCATGAAATATAAACTAAAAATAATAGAATTATAAATTATTGTTAGTAATTAAAAATACGGTATATCCTTCAAATGAACGCTAGTGATTCCCCATTCCTAACCTAACTAAATTACGAAATATACATTACCTTATAGAGTACTGTAACAGTAAAGCGAACCTAATATAATTTTACAATAATTTGAATTGTAGGTATTCAATATCGGCGCATCCGAGTTGGGTCCCGAATACTAGGGGCTAATCTCAGGTAGTGTACTAGTTGGGTCCCGGATTTTTAAAGTTGCTAAACTAGTTGGATCCCGAATTTTTAAAGGTACTATACTAGTTGGGTCCCGAATTATTATAGGTATTCCACTAGTTCCTGAATATTTTTTGGTAAGTACTAAGTACTTCACTATACTAACATTTTCATTTCCATTTTAACAGACTGTCTATGATCTATTTAGACCACAGGTATGGTTAAAAATGTTTTTTACAATTTTTTTTTAAATATTAAAATATAAGTAATTGATAGTTAGTAAAAATATTATAATAATTTAAAATATTATACAATAATATTAATACAATTTTATTAAATTGAAAAGTAAATGAAAAGTATATACTTATACGTATATAATATGACTATTGGGATATTCGTAATAAAAAAAGACGTAAGTGGTTTTCGAGCATTCGTGTTATAATTTCAGTGTTATCGGTAATATCTGATAATTTTTGACATATCTTATAATAAACTATCTGGAACAGCTATAAATTCCGGTTAAACCTCGACGAGTTGGTTAGGTTAAAAAAAAACTGAAAAAAACATTTTTAACCATACCTGTGGTCTAAATATATCATAGAGAGTCTGTTAAAATGGGAAGTAAAATGTTAGTATAGTGTAGTACTTACCAACAAATATTCAAGAACTAGTGTTGTAGTTCAAATAATTCAGGACCCAACTAGTGTAGTAACTATACAAATTCGGGACCCAACTCGGATGCAGCCTTCAATATATATTTTAAAGTTTTAAACTTTGAATATAGATTGTTTTTTTGAAATTAATGTTTCTTTTAAGTTTACCTCTATTATAGGTATATTATTTGTAATTAAATATTTATAATTTGGGAATTATACAAATTAGCGTTCGAAAAATATTTGTTCGTTTAATGATTTTCATGTGGTTGCAACTTGTGAGTTGTGAGTAACAATGTAGTCGGGGAGTTATTTTCCTGTGGGCAGGAATTTCTTTGCCGGAGTTGTTCGGGGAATTTTATTCTAATTATAGTTTCTACGTGTTCACACTACATCCCAGTCCACTCCACATACAGACCTACTATACCATAATGCTTACATGACGTCTGTACCTCATATTTTATCTCAGATTTTTAAGAAATGCAAAAATCTTTATTACGTTTATGCGGCGTCGTAGTTAGACTATAAAAGTACACGCACGCAATCGTGAATATTTTCGGTTGAAATATTTTAAGGCAAAAAATTCAAGTTTAGTGATGAGTTATTCTAAATACGTAGTTTATACTTTTTGTTATTTGTATAGTTAAACTATAGTTTAATCAAAAATATTTCAACATATAAAATCAATATGTCGATTTATAAAATAGCATCGTTGAAATGTAAGCGATGATGCTTACATCGCTGTCTCCACTAAATTTGTCTGTATATAATATGTGTATATGCCACATGGTTATAATTTTAACATGTTTAAGAGTCTTTGTAATCGTTGGTCTGTATCTTTATACAACATATATTTTGTATGTATCGTGTATATGTGTATTGTATTGTATTTTTGCTATACGTTCTATAGTTTGGACTTATGTGTGAAGAAAAAAAATGGAAGCTATCGATGGTGGGTACGGTCAACAACTTTGGTCAGTTTATTGGCATACCCGTATCTGGAATCATCGCTGACAAGTAAGTACACCACATACGTACAACTGTTCAATTCTGAATTATAATATAATAAATACAATGTGCATTGCCCATAGAAATCATTTTTTTTTTTTTTTTACCAACAATGACTTTATTTGTATAATCGCCTTCAAAACGAACCTATATTGGCTATTACTTATAGCTTAGTCCTTAGTAAATTACTTATAAAATATAAGTTATTACTTACAGGTTCTTTCAAAGTATGATATACGCTGTAATAAGCATAATACATGTTGTATAATATTGTACCCTAAATGTGTAACCCCTGAACAATTAAAATCAATTCTTATATACAAATACAAAAAAAAAAAATACTGAAAACGATTAATATTAAAGATTATGATAATGTCTTCAATTTTCAGATTTGGTCGAAAGTTTGCTATGGTATTTTGTGCTGTGACATCTGCCATATTAGCTATCATTCAGTCGTTTTCGGTCAATTACCAGATGTTCTTGGTATTGGAATTGTTTTCTTCAATCGTTTCCAGCGGTGTTTATACAGTCACTTTCGTATTAGGTAAGAACATTTTCAATAGGTATTCGAAACTTAAAATTAATGATAAAAATAAATTGTGAACGGCGAGCCAGTCAGTACTCACGGTAAATTTGTCTTATGAGTAAACATTGAAACACTTTTCTGGTGAAACAAGTTATATATAAGTATATATAGTATTATGTAAAAAACTTGAACAATTATTTACTATTTATTTTACAAAATGTATTCTTGATCTTGATCAACGATTGGTAACGCAGACATAATAGATTTGTCATATGAGACATCAATTTGTTAGGGATTATACATTTTCTCATTTTCACTGAAAAACTGCTCCAATAATCACACTACTTAAAAAAGTAGCTTTCGTTCTGACAGAACTCATGGTAAAGCTGCAACATTTTGAAGGAATTGAGCAAGTTTTTTTCTAACATCTTGGCTGTTAAAGGCAACGTTTAAGTCTCCACTCAGTATCATTTATCAAATAAAGAAATCTTTATTTTATGACAGCTGAACCTCCCATACAATATGGTAGAAAACAAAACTAATGAAATCAATAATTTTTTTAATGTGCCGTTTCATTAAACGATATTATAGGTACAACCACAGAAAACACTGAAAGTATTAATTGTCTTTCCTTAATGAAGTAGGTATACATGCCCACGAAGCAGATATCCTCAACCCATCTTGTCTTTGTATTGCAATCCCTAAACTATTTATTAATTATTAGACGGTAGTTTATGATCACGAGTGACGTAATTACATCTGATTTAGTTCCATTTCGGTAGGTACCTACTGCACTAGTGCGCCTTTTTCTTCATTTAAATTGAGCAGCAAGGTCAACATTTTGAATAACAATGCATTCATTATTGGGAATAGCATGAAAATCGTAAAATTTAAGGTAATTTCATCCTCGATGTCACGGTTATGTGCTCGGAGGCTTTGACAATTAAACAAAAAAAGTGGCAATTATTTTTCATAAAGTTGTAGGCGATTTCCTTAAAACAAATTATGAATAATAATAACATTTATAGCTATTTTTTTTTTTACAATAGGTACTCATAACTCATAAATCTTAACTTTTATTTGATAATGGTCTTGTTTCAACGAAATTTGACGAAACTATTTTTCGTTTTTGTTGGTTTACACGAAATTACTACAGCCAGAAATTTTTTGGGAGGGGGTCACATGCATAGATGTTAATGCATAAAAAATAAAAAAAAATTTTTTGTTTTATACGACGTATTCGTAATTAATTAAATTAATTAAATTATTGTACACATATATTTCATTAAATCAATAAATAGCGTTTAAATTGTTTATTCTATGTTTTCTTTAAACTTAAATAAAACTGTTATAACCAAATAGTAAATTAATACAATCATTATTATTATTGATTGTAGGCGGTCATGTCGTCTATTAATGTAAATATGTATGAGTCTGTGGTCTGTAGAATTAAAAGGACCTTATATTTTAACAGTAAGTTTATGTTACACTCGTACAAATATAGGTATTACTTTGTAGTTTGTACCTTGTACATAAAAATGTTTCAAATGTTTGATAGAATACCATACAAACATAAAAAAATATATTAAATAAAAATATGTTTTCTTTTAATTTTCATTAATAATACCTATCTGTTTAAAACAGTATAATATAAAGTAACATCGACACTCGACAGCTTGCATCTAACTGATAAATTAACTTTCAAATAGTATACCATTTTACCCACACAAAAAAAACTAACGGTTCCTATAATTAACAGATAAAATTAAAAAGCGTTCAATTGTGTTAACTAAACTAAGGATCAAATTAAACTGAAACAATGAAAACCAGGGGGCTTAAGAAATAAAGTTTAATTTTCTATGCCACCAAAAAGGTTCAAAATTTAATGAAACTACTTTATTTTTCACATTATCTGATAAAATATTCAAATCTATAAGTCACAAAAGATCGTGAATGCTATTAAGAAGTGTGTTGGTATATTTTTGTTGGATAACTATTTATAATGTGTTTTTAATCTCACTTGTTAGCGATAGAGTTGGTACTTCCTAATCATCGTGTGCTATACTATTCGATTCTGGAATGTTTCTATCCAATTGGTGCCATATTGGTGGCTTTTATCGCCAGTCTGGTGAAAGACTGGAGGCTTTTGTTGCAGATAGCCAACATCCCAGGATTGCTGTTCTTGTCATACTTCTGGTTGTTATTTTGGGACTAGTTTTGTTTAACGTCAATTAATACAATATAACTGTTATTTTCTCGTATATAGGCTAACAGAAGAATCGATGAGGTGGTTGGAAATGCAAGGCAAACACGACAGAGTGATCGGCGTACTCAAAAGAATAGCTGGTATTAATAAAAAGTCTTTGCCTGTACTACGTCCAAACACACAAATAGAGGTTATTTTAAAATTTAAATATTATTGAACATGCATACACATTAAATATTATAATTTGACTTATCTTTAAATACATGACATAGTCAAACGTACAAGCTGATCATTAGTGATGAAACAGTGATGAATCTCATTTTTTTTCTACAAAAATTACCTATCGAGTTACCTAAAAATGTATTTTTAAATATTTTTTAACAGACATCAAATTACGACGACGATAACGACGCAAAATACGTCAATATCCTAAAAGACGTAATCGGCTCACCGACAATATTATTTAGGTTAATCAGATGTTCACTAGTGTGGTAAGATATATATGTAATCATTTCCAAATATTTATCTAAATATAAACATGAATAATGTATTTTAAACTATTTTAGATTCTGAGCGGAGCTATTTATTTTAAAATATGTGTGATTTTTGTCTGTCTCTCGACAATTTTTTTTATGGGGTTAGAGTGTGGCCAAGAGTAAAAAATTCTTAGCAGTTTTTAAAAGCATCCGGAAAACAAAAAAAGTTTACCGGAAAGTCACATTCATTTTATATGAGCGTTTATTCAAATTTCAGTCATTTTTACGACATTGAATATATTCACCTGTCAATTAACAATTTATCACCGAACGAATACCTTATATTTTTGTAATTCAAAAACGAATAACCGTAGTTATTTAAATTAATTACACGGATTGTTTATTTTATCAATTTCTATACATGATAACATTTTTTTAATATTGTGACTATTTTTGAGCTATTTAGGTGTAGACATTTTGAATTTTTTTGGTTTTTTTCCTGTCAATAATTATAAAAAATGTCACTGGGTCAAAGAGCTTTAACAATTTAAGGAACTCAAACATTAAACCGGTCTATCAAAATACTAATAGTAAAATAAGTTACTCTAATAGAAATATCAAAAAATATAATCATGAGTTATAGGTACTTGACGTATATAGCTGACTGACTGCTGTCATTTCCGCTCAGAATCGTTTTTTGTACCCATTCAATGTATATATTATATCATTGAATTCAAATTGAACACATACATTACGGAGACCTACTCGATACCAACTGTACAACAGAGTGGTACCCACTTTTTAAAATGATTTTTCTTTGAAAATGATGAACTATTCTTAATTTTTCTATAATAATGGTTGCATACATTTGTATGCTTAATGCTATAGTTTTTAAATTACTAACTCTATTTAAGATACTCAGAAATCTATATAACTATAGTCTTGTGTAGTTGTGTAACGGGAAAGAGTGCTGAATCGGGGATAGGTAACTTCTCACACGAAACATTTTAGGTCAAAATCCCCCATTACACCTACAAAATACAATAACAAATACAAATTTTGTCTCAACTTAATTTAGACTTAGAAGTTAGAACTGACTACTTAAATGTATATACTTGGTTTGATTAAAATTTGTTTATTTGTTAAGTCTTTAATCCAATATTCCAATGACTTAATTTAAGTTAGTCCATTATTCATTAATAAAAGTTACACTAATAATAATAACAATACAAATCATAAAAATAAGTTGTAGGATGTGGTTTATTATCAAAGTTCAAAAATTTCACATACATTGTTGTATTTTTTAAAACGGTTATCTAATAGGTATTTCATATTAATATATTTTTGTTTTTCTTTGGATTTTCTAAGTTCTATTAAAATCTGATGATCATATTTTATATAATGTATTTGTTTGAAACATTTTTACGACTTGACTTCAATCATAATTCATAAGTATAGTATTAAGATGATCAAAACAATTTCAGTTGAATTCGAAAATGGAAACTTTCACAAGCATTTGTAGTAAAGGCTGTCTTAACAGAACTAGCTGTAGTCCAGATATTAAAGCTTACGGGGAGCAAGTACTATAATTATCCTCTATACTCAATATTATTAGTCCCTAAATAATCGTACAATTTATTTTATTATATCCTGGTTGTTCATCCATGAAATTATCTGTAAAACTAAAAATAGGCATCCCCGTATTTGTGTAGTCTGAAAAATAATATTAATTGCTTGGTGCATTGATATCTTAAAGTCTAACACAAATTTATTTAGTTTTCAAGCCATTGGTCACGTCATCGAGGCTTTTTTCTTTAATGAAAATAATATATCTAACTATTTGGTTTTCCTCTAGTTGCATTAATTTTTTTAATAATTCAATATAACATGTTTTATTGTTTTATTCGCTAAAAAGTAAAACATAAATTAAATTGTAATACTATTTTTAAATCCATGTATGCATAGTAATAATTGAATGTAAGACGTTTATTGCAATAATTATAAGTGCCATTCATATGATTCAACATTTTATAATATAATTAATAATGATATAATTATATTTATTTTTTTTTTACCTAGTTCAGATTATGTTAATGCTGTAAGTAATTAAATTTTATATACTTACACAATACAGAAAGTAATGCATTTAATTTTATCTCCATGTAAGAACTAATGTATTAGTTCATTTTTGTTCATATCGGAACTTACATGTATAATATAAATATATAACTGTTAACTATCCTATTAATTCCAATAATTACTTATGTAATTATTGTGATTGCTGGTAATTATGTTTCGTAAGGGTATGGAATAATAAATTAAAAATATGGATCCCATAAGTATAATGTAACAATATTTTGCAAAAAAGATTAACTGGACAAAAATGTACAAGTAAAACGTAGGTAATGCAGATTTAAATTGCAGGTTTTTTCTTAAAAAGCCTTAATTACAATATTCATAAGCTTAATCATCTGTTAATAAATTATAAGTGAGTTTATAATTATTTAGCGAACTGCTTTTTTTTTTACTTATGAATATTTGTTTACTATAGAATTACGTCATTTAATAATATTCTATTAATTAGGTCAGATAATTTTGTACGCAAACAACAGAACACGCTAATCAAGCTTTTAATATCTTATTCTTTAATTATATATATTAACTATAATAACTACAACAAATTAAAAAATTAAAAACAAACTAAATCAATTTTTATTTGTATTCGTATTTTCCAAACAGTAAAACTTAAACATATTAAAACATTAATCTCACCACGATAAAATTCTTAGTTATAGTTAATAATAAAAAACATAGACATAAAATACACCAGACACGTCTGAACATAAGGAGTGCAAATAAAAATGTCGATTATTTGATAGAATGACGGATGAATGGGTAGGTCTTTTTTTTTCTTGTTTAACCGACAGCAGAGGAGGCTCTGTCTTAACAATATTTCTCCTCAGCTACCATTGTTTATTGGCAAAAAATTTAAACACACACAATACAAATATAAATATTAAATACAAATACATAATACACATTAGTAACATCTGTCGATTGCCAATAGCACTCAATCTGAATGGCTATGTCTGACTTATTAGGTCTTACCTTACCCAGTATAATGTACCAAGCTATACTACTCTAATGCTTAATACTACAAAATACATTCAAAACGATAGAATGATAGATTTCATTATCAATTAAATAGCCAGTGATTGATTTAAATTATTAAATACCAATCTATGTAGGTATCTATATTAGAAATTACTTGCAGAAAAGAAAAGTTTTTTTTCAAGATTTATACAATTTGTAGACTATCCCAAGTTGATAAACAAATTTAAATATTGTATACGCCGAGCGTTGCAAACAATTACAACTATAGTATTATAAAAGATGGTAAAAATATTGATGTACCTACGTAATAATGTCTAAGACTGCAAGCCAATAACTATCTACATTTAAGAAATGTATATTATGGTATGGTTAGGAAGTCTTAGTAACTGTAAAACCAGATAAGAATAAATAGGAGGCTCATGTTTAGATCACGTAGGTACTTGAAACCCAATCGAAACCTAATTCATCAAAATAAATGTTGGAACATAATATATTGTATATTGAGGCACATCAATAACTGACCATTTCACAATAGTAAAATAGTAAGTGTGTGCTGTGTATAATTTGTCAACATTTCACAATAATAAGAAGTAACCAACATAAATATTAAATACAAACGTCAAACAGGAAATAATCCACCTAAACAAAAAAACAATATTACAACTTGATCACTCTAAATTTTTCTCGGATATTAATTCGATTATTCTTTAATAACTATTGATATACTGATGTCAATTCAGCAACTTATTTTATTAATATTTTTAAATGTGGAGTAAATAATATTGTAGTACAGAAAAATATAATCAACAATATCATCAAAAACTATTAAAAAGATTAAATCCTGGGCGATTATTTTAGTTCGTTATAAGAGATAAATTATAGGTACTTATCTGTAAACAAACATCGTCTAAATTATTAATTAAAACAACATTATTTAAATATGACTATCTTAACAAATACTATAAAATAGCAAAACCAGGCTAATGACCTCAAATGTTAAAGCCTTAACTCAATATAAAAAAAAAATAGCAAAAACAAATTATTATAAATTCTAATGCTTTTGGATGCGCAAATACATTATTGCCAAATAACTATTTAGTGATTTAAAATGGGAAACAAAAATGTATTAATACAATGGTTATCACTAGTCACATTCGTCTAGATTTACTTATAGCAATATTTAGTATATATTTTAGACTTCATTACCATTCAAACGTTTTTATGAGAAGGCCAATTTTTTGTTTTGTATTTTAAATTTCTTTTTGATTGAGTTTCATTATCATATCATAACAATGAAATAATGATATTATTATTTAGGTTATGAAAAATATAAATGACTAAGAAAAGGCAGTATTTATACATACAATTTAAGTCTTCAATCAGTTGCGTAAGCGCTCTGAGTGTACGTACCGGCCGGTGTTGGTAGTTCCCGGATGGATGACCATCCGGGAATTTTAGCAACAAATCCTCGCCACACATACACAAACACGTGTTCAAACTAACCATTTCCCCCTATATACAGCTAATGGCCTAAGTTTCCGGGATATATATATATATTATTTCAACTTACACAGGATAGCTATAACGCTAGTGTACTATGGGCTGACAATAAGCGCAACTGACATCGCCGGAGACAAATATCTGAACTTCGCGTTGGCCTCTTTCGTCGAGATTCCTGCCTGCCTGTTGAACTGGTTAGTTATGGAAGGGATGTCTCGAAGAATGTCGTTATCCTGCATGTTAATCTTGAGTGGTTTCACCAGTGTCCTATACAACTTGGTTCCGGACTGTGAGTATACCTATAACTTAAGTTGAAACTTGAAAGTACCTACCCCCTAAATTATATTTAATTGCCTTAATTTCAGCTCGCAGTATATTTCATACCTAGATATATAATAATCAAGCATTCTTCTTATTGATTCCTATATATTTCTGCCAAAATTATTATTTTACCTGGTAAAACTTATCGCGTCTACTGACTACTGATCTATACAGTCTATAGACTCTACACCGGCCTGGTATAAAATACTTAGAGCATAATATAAAGTGATTGTGTATTATATCGTGGTATATAAGGTTATCGCTATCGAGTAAAATATAATGCAATGAGCAAAATAAAACTATTCCATCATTTTTATTTATACATAAAGTGTAAAGAATGACAATGTTTCGTGTAGCAACGTCATCATTATATTTCATAAGTTTTAACTGCTTGTTAAGCACTTTAAATTATAATATTTATTTCTCTACGCTCGTGGGATGTAGCTAATTCCTGGTAAAGTGGTAATATCTACACAGCTATAATCTGCAGCGATTATTTCGAACGTATTCATTTTAAATTCATCGATGGTCCCTAATGAATTTTAGAAATCAGGTAAAATATTAAGTTTGAGGAAACTAATTTTATAAATCATTTTAAAACGAAGCATGTCCACCATCTACATGGTTACTTGAGAGTGGAGCCTTAGTCCTAATATTATGTATGAAACATAATATTAGCACTAAGGCTCAAAAGTTAAAAGAGTTGCATATTATTCTATAATATGCTATCAATTTATAACAGACCGAGCTGAAAATCCATTCTATACAATTACAAATTTAAAATGCATATTTTTGCATGTACCTACCTACATATTTTATCAGAAAAAAGGTAAAAAAATTCATAAGGTAATAAATGAACATTTCCTGATTTATTGTACTTATACGTATTCATAGTTATTGATATGTTTAATCAATAACTTATTATAATTTATTATTTAGTATATTATTTTCATATATTTTGAATACAGCTGGTTACATAGGACTTTAGATTTTTCATCTTCATAATACATTTAAATGATTTTAACTACTATAACTTCTAAGCCCTATAACTGCAGTTTTGGCTTATGACGTTGTATAATACATTAATATACCTACGTATGTACCTATTATTATTATAAGCCACATTATCACATTAATGTTTTTTTTTTCCAACACAGCATCTCTTCTGATTAGATTATCGATATTCTTGATTAGTAAACTCGCAATCTCCGTCGCATTTTCCGTCATCTACATGCTGACCGTGGAGATATTCCCAACCAGAATGCGAGCTACCCTTCTATCAGTGTGCTCTATGATTGGTCGAATCGGATCAATGTTGGCCCCACAGACTACGCTGCTGGTATGTAAAACGTCGCACTACTTTACGCTAACGATTTTTCCGAAATGGTTACATTGATTGGACTTAGAGAGGCCTGCGTAGAGAGACGCATTAATATAAACTTTTCATTACAAATTAATTTTTATTTCGTCAATATTTAAACTTAAAATGCTTATAAAAAATAATCATGCCTTTTTATATTGTCGTTAATATTTTTAAATAGATGTAATAAAAACGTGTGAGAAACCTAGGTGTTACGGAAGCTTTTATTACATTATTTAGCTTTTTAACCGAATAAATCATTTTTTTATAGAAATGTTTAGAAAAAAAACTAAAATTAATCAAAAACGGTTTAACCAAACAATTTAGTCAATAATATTACAATTTTACAAATATTTTCATTTTTTTTTTGTTTATCCCTTCTGTTTTAAAAAGTACTGAGCATTTTCAATTTCGACCTCCCAAAAGTATCAACTGGATCAAATTTTCCTTCAAAAATCTCCATTAAAGTTGATGATTAGAGCATTTTTTGTACTAGAAACATTGAAAAATTGAAGTTGTATAAACATTTTGAAATACAACACCTAAACATCTGGAATAATTAGTACTCGCGTACTCAACTGAACATATTGTTTTACCTATAACCAGCTACTATACTATTAAGAGGACGCTACGTTGACATTTGTTGTCTCCGTTTTAGAAGTGCGTAGCATACCAAATTTTACTCTCAGCAGATCACGTTTGGCTGTTTAAAAATTAGAGTGCATCGACCTCTTATAAAATGTATGAGTGAGATTATTATCTAGGGTATCTCATAGGTTTTTTAATATATTCTAATTTCAAAGCGAGTTATGAGTATTTTAAAATTGTAAATTGTTTTTACATCTTAAAATACTCATACCTCGCTTTAAAATTAAAATATAATAAATAAGCTATGAGGTGCTCTAAATTATAATCTTACCTTTAAATTTAATACGTTTTTCATTTAATTGTATCAATTCACTCTAATTTTTAAACTAACAGAGCCAAACGTAATCTGCTGAGCATAAACATGCCAACGTTACGCACTTGTAAGACGAAGACTACAAATTATATTGTAGCGTCCTCTTAATGATAATATTGAACTTTCTTTGCTTGTGATTGGGTTATTTATTTATTATCTAACAAATAAATATATTCTGTAACTTTAATTTATAAAAAATGGCAAGGAAAAGTATAGTAAGAATAAGTGAAAAAAGTGAAGATATATTAAAGTAATTACGGCATCTATATGGGTTTCATCAGTTGGTTCAAGATTCACCTCATTATCAACTTAAAAAAATATTTCAGGCTGAATACTTTGGCAATTACGTGACCATGCTAGTGTTTAGTGTGACGGCACTTGTGGCCGCCGCAATCACCATGACTCTTCCGGAAAGCAAAAACATTAAGTTGCCAGACACCATCGTAGAAGCCGAACGGATCGGGATCGACCGCCTAATACCAGAAAACATCGAAAACTCTTAGTCTTACTATAGTAATTATTAATAATATTTTTACGCACCCTCAAAACGTTGTTGTAATGTGTGTGCGGAACGTCCTCAGTATGGTTTTCGAAAATGTTTCCCAATTAAACTCTATATAAATAATATATTGTTTAATATAGACGATGTTTTATTTACGTAACACTCCACATACGTAATAAAAATTTGTACTGCTCTTTGGGGCCTCGCCGTGACAAATAAGTTTTGACGTTTCGTACACATATATAATTTCCCAAATACGCCATTGGAAAATCTGTAGAAAATAAAAGCATATTATGACGAGACAGGTCCGGTACCTTGTCGAATCAATATTCCCAAAAGAATAATCTTTCAATTCATTTTTCTTAATCGGAGAACCATGCTTTCGAAACACATCATTATTCTTTTTATATTGTATATTAATTGTATCTATTATGAATATTATACCTGTGAAATATATTTCCTTTCGTAACAGCACAGGGTGATTCATCAGGAATTTTTGTACTCACCTATTAAGGAGAGATCACCAAATTTTCAAAATACTTAAATTTTTTATACCATTTCAGGAATATCATGCGGAGATACATATTACAATTTTTAAAAAAGTACTTTTTTCAAATGAGAACCAACCTTTTGACTGTAAATTGTAGATGATGTTAGATGATGTTTATTTAATAATGAAGATGTAACTAAATCCAATTTAAACGAGTAATTTTTCTACTAAATGAGTGACTAAAATGTCCTTATATTTATAATAGTCCTGAATAATTAGTTTACAAAAATATAAATGTATGTAATAATTAGTCTAGTGCCTTGTACCTACTTAGACGCTTTTTAATAAAATGTTAATCGAATAATATTAATTATTATAATGAATTCAATTATTATGGACCTATTATCCTTAATACACAAAGGAATATAACTCAAAAACAATTCATTTCAATTTTAATTTAAATACATACAAACATTTTCAAAAAATCATCTGTATAATAATAAAAGAGTCATTCTCATTTTAAAAAAGAAGTTTGTATCACCCTGCAGGACACTTCATAAGATCTAACTATTTTAAAATATTATCTTTAAGTATATATACTTCTTATACTTAATATTTCTAAAAATCAGAATTTGAATGCATAAATACCTAAAATCAAGAGGAAAATGAGTGGTGAGCATGCTTGATGAATCACCTTGTATGGTACGTACATGATTTAGTCTTAAGATTTCTTTTTTGATTTATCGAATATTGATTTATATCTACTTTATACTTTTATATCCAATCCATATCATAGATACGTACATTCATGATGTATGGAATTTCATTTCAATTGATTTTAAAATATTTTTACTTTAAATCTAGAAGATCTGCTTTAAAACGGTTAATTCTCCTGAATAGCTAAATCAAACAGTGGAGTTATCCTAATAGTAATAAACTAATAACCCATAATTAAACAATACAATTATGAATACTTCACGCATATAGAATATAGATGTATTTCATGTATTATATAAATTTTGAACTTATATCCTAACTATATAAATTATAATAACTATATTTGTAATTTGTATTTAATATTGGCTATATATACATATTACACTGCTTATTTTAATCTTTTAATATGTACATATTGATATAAATATATAAATTGAATTACCTACTTACCTACATTATTTTCAATTATAACAATATATAAGCAGATTAATTTTAAATAGGTGAACTACTTGTTTCTGTTGCTCTAACTATATAATTATTATATCAGCCTACCAAATATTTAATACTCATATTGTACATCTCTAGAATTGATTTAATCCTATTAAACCATGAAATCGTAAAGATGAAAATATATATCTTCTATATATAAAGTAATGTACTACTGTATATTTTTGTTTATTTATTATTAATGGTTCCCCTTAACATAGATTACCGAAGGGTAAAATGCATAAAATACTAGTAAAATGTCCTATATTATCTATATTTGAAATAACGAAATAACAATCATATACATTTTTTTATTTTATTTCATTTATCTACAATACCGGCTGAGCCCAATTACACAATAAATATAAGCAATAACATATTATAACTTATATAAATATATAATTATTTTTATGATTTATTACGCTCTCGTATGTACCTGCATGTCGTATAAGTAGTTGTATTTTATACAAATATTATAGTGATATAACAAATGTTTAAATATATACATGAGAATATAAGATAATAGGTAGCAGGTACTGTGTATAATGTACCTATTTTAGGCACATACATATTTAACTATTATCTATTAACTACATTAAATTGTATTAATTATTTACTTATGTGTATAACTACCTGAATATGCCAACAAATGGTCATAACTTAACATAATTTAGATTTTTAAATCTAAAAATATTTATTTGACTTATCTAATTTAAGTAACTTAATATAAAACAAAAGACATTTTAACGTGAGAAATTTCTAGTGTGTAGTATACATTTCTAATACTTGCCACTTATCTCAAATTCTCAACTACCGGAATTCCTATGTATATTATCTCAAGGTACTATAAATATATTCTATATAATTGTATTAGTGAAAATATTTCGTAAATTAATAATTTTAAAAATCTTTCCTCAAAATAAAAAATTCATTATGTTCGGTAAAAAAAATTTATATATCAAAGTTTATCCGATTTATTATAAAATGTTGTAAGACGTAAGTGATTAAAAAAAATTTTCAAGGAATTCGAAATTTTGAAGTGTATAAAAATAAAATATGATTGTACCAATAACTTTAAGTACCGTAAATATTCTATTTTAATGTTTAATTAGATTGTATTAATGTTTTTTTAAGTACTTTAGTCGAATTTTAAAAATAACTTGGTGTTCCGACATGGAGACATAATGTAATATGTAACTAGAAACATATGTAGGTAGAATATGTACAGAAGCAATGGTATTTAGGTGAAAAGTAATATTTAAAATGCATTTTTATTTATTTAAGTAAATGTCCAACCATATTTGCTCCCAGCTCATTAAAATAAAAACAACAGATTCTATGTATATTTCTATTATTATTTTAATTTTTCAAATAATTAAATTATGGTAATTTCATTTATAAGTTAATCATTTTTGTGTTGTTTTACGCTATTGAAATAGTTAATATACTTAATTATATCCATTCAAAATATAATGTTATTAATTTCAATAAAATATTCATCGAATTTTTTTTACAATATAATATTATTCCATTTGTATTTATTTGTGTGCAATTTAACAATACATAACATTAAACGAATAGATCTGGAAATTAATAATAGTACCTTTATAACATTTAAAAAAAAATTAGATTTAAAGATATTTGATGATTAATTTATCAAGAAATAGTTTTTTTGCAGAAATATTTGCAGGTAAACTGAGTTAATTTTTTTTAAATGAACGATATCATATAGAATATTAGGTTGGTCTTATTCGTGTAATCGTGTGTATTTTATCCCATTCATTTCTTGTTTTCTTATCAAATATAACAGCAAATCATGTTAATTTTACTTACATTTACATATACATAATGGTTGTATTATATTTCACGTATTATTATATGAATAAAGTAAAACTGTTTGTGGTTATGATGAGTGTAAACTATTCTGATTGTCAACATTATTACATTAGTCAAGACTCAAGAATAACACAGTTGTAAAAACGATTATAAGAAGGACTTGCAACGTTGTAAAATCGTTAAATATGACAAAACGATTCAAATTTTTAAACGTAATAAAAACAGAAAACTAATGTAAAATAAAGAAAAATAATAAAATAGTGCAAAACAAAACATAGTAGTTAACAAAATATTATAATATAGAATATCATACAACAAAACATAACTCATCACGAAATACATAGAATAAACAAAAATGATGCTAAACGAAATAATGAATGCTGTGTAATGTTTCTGTATCATAAAAACCAATTTTTTTTCCATTTATATTTGTTTTGTGGACATTTTTTAAAAGTATTATATCTCATATGGCCATATCCCGGTCATTTTGGCATTACTAACTAAATAAAAAAATACTACTACGAACTAAATATTATTGTTACATTTTAATATTATCTTTATTTTATCTATATTAAGTAGAATTTTTTTATTTATTCATCATTAATCATAAATCGTTTTAATGCATCGTATCCATCAAGCACTATTACAACTATTTTTTTTTTTTTACAATTATATTAATAGGTACTATTAATGATAAGATAGCTAACTAAGGATAAGAATATTGATGATATTGATAATAACTTAGAAATAATATTTAGTATTGATCTTCATATTTTGATGAAAACTCTTCTGTGTCCATTAAGAGGATGTCCACGGTAGTCGAAACCACAGATATCTGTTGTGGGTTTTGCTTCCTAGGTTGTAATGACGGACTGCGTCCGAGTGTTTTAGTTTGGTGTGGTTGAGTGAAAGATTTTAATTTAGCTTTGATCCAGATATTTGTGAGGAACGTATTCCTATGTCGTCGTAGATCTAACGATTCCTCATAAGCCAGGGTGCTTTTGGGCATATCCTTAGTAATTTAGTTTGAAGAATTTGGATCTTATTGATCTAAGTATATAAAGCTGATGCCCGAACAGTGCAGCCATAGGCTATAAGTGGCCTGGCTATTGAAGTGTACAGAAGGAGGGATGATTTGACTTTAATTGTTTTTTTGAAATTAGCTTAAGGGTAAATTAAGTAATTTTAATCCATCTAAATTATATTTCAAAAAAAAATACCAAGGTAATTGACTGAGTCCCTTTTTCTATTCCATTGTATAGCCTGGCTGCTTGTGTAAATGTTTCTGGTGTGGTTTTATCTTTTTAGGGTAAATATTTAAGGCAGACATTTTTGTTGGGTTTAGGTTCAACTTCTATTTTTTGAACCTAGTCGGTGATTTTATTCAACACATTGACAGCTGCAAGAGCTAAATATACTGCAGCCATAGTAAAGGCAGTGGATCTTTATTTTTATATGTTTGTCTTATTACTGACGTTTTTCGGTTTTTCGTAGGTCTTGGTTTCTGTATTAGTTAATGTTGGTAGGTTACGATTGACAGCTGATAATATATCCTTTTTCACATTTTAGCTTTTCATTCCATACCTATGTGAAATACTGGTATTTTTTTTTCATTCACACTTATTGTGATTACATGGAAACCTTCAACTGTTTTTACTTTCATTAGTATTTTGTTTTATTTTTCGGTTGCACTGAAGTCATCGTGTAATATAGATGAGATTTCTATACGAAGTTCTATGTAATTTGTTAAATTTATTACCAATACCTACAGGTAATTATCACGGTGATCGCGTTTATCTACAGATAACAGAGGTAATTATTTATTGCTAATTTCAATTTCCATATGTTGTTGATTGGTAGGTTGAGTTTGTTTTTAATTTATTTCATTATTTGTGCATTTTTAAAAGGTGTGAAGCAGTTTGGTGTAGAAAAGAATGCATTGTTTTTCGATTTATTGTCGGGTTTTAGGGGTTTGAAGGATGTGATTGGGACTTATGTTCTGAGTTAAATCTAAATTTTTAACAATGGGTGGAGGGACGACCTTGAGATCTTTAGTTAGGTCTTGTTAGTGAATATTATAATGTTATTACTTAGTATCAGTATTTGACGTAGAGCTCATTATTATTGTGTGTAAAATTCGTTAGACGGGCTTATCGCCCATAGGCGGTGGTTTAATCGTGATATTGTTAATTGTGGTTTGCACTTTGGGTCATATAATGATGTTTATACGTTACCAGAGATAAGCATATGGTACAGACTGTAAATAAGTTATAGTAGTCACTGTTATCGAGAGCTACGAAAACGATGAGGCGAATTTACAGGCGTGTGTAATTTGAGTCAAAAATAACCAAAAAAAAAAAAAATGTGTTTTGAGCCAAGTCTAAAAATTAATTTTGGTAACTTTTACCGCCCAAAACTAGAAAAGGGACATCTGTTATCGAAGAAATCTTGTACCTATACAAAAAATTGTCATTTGAGTCACTTAAAAAATATAGCAATACTTTTTTTAAAACTTATTCAAATGTATTATATTGTATTGTATTTTACTCATCGATCAAGTTCATTTTAATATAAAATATGTAAAAAGCCTGGCACAGGCCACAGATAACATTATTATGTCACATCTTTTTGTTTCTGTCGTGATGTATATTACCAAAATTAATATTTAGATGCAGATAAATAATTCATTTTTTTTTTTTTTACTGTGATTACTGATTCCATACGCACTCAAATGGTGGCGTAAATTACAAATACTAAAATTGACTCATAATATCATCTATCAAATTCACATGTGAACGTTTGGTTTCTATAGTGTCCAGACACGTAACAATATAGAAATTTAACCTTTCACGATAATCCTCGTGATTCCACATCATTAGACGCCTAATTAAAATTCGCCAGTAGACTTTTTGCAGAAATATTGAAATAAATTTTTTTAAATATGTTTTTAATGTTAAATTGTTTAAACGTGTTCGAAATTGAACACTGGCTCACCATCGAGTTATGTGATGTAAATCTCGGACGTATCTTGGGCAGTTGGATTTAACTACCTATGGGTTAAAACAGTGCATGTATGGAAAGTGACAAGACATAGAGGGCGCTTTTTGTTTACTCGTTTACTCAATATGTATGGTATAGATGACAGTGCGGGGTAGTAGGGTAAGATATATAGATTATTGTGTTTTGTTGTCAAGGCAGCCTACATCACTGTGATATGTTTTACCACCTCTCGTGATGCTGTTGTTAAATACAGTTTTATATAGTTGTAGTTGTAGTAAGGTCTTCGGATTTAATTGACTACTAATAGCAAATAAATTACTTTAACATCAATATCACAAAATATACTTTACAAACATTAGTCGTTAATAATTGTTATATAGTCAAATAATATAATATATTAATATATATTATTGTTATTTTTTTACTAAAGCTTTCAACAAAAATTAAAAACTCTAGGGGCATATCGGGGGAGATTTCGGCCCGGAGAAATATAAAAGTACCGGCCTACTTACTAGCTTACGTATTTACCGAATATTACATTTTAGCCAATTTGATTAATATACATGATTACAGGCTAAACGGTATAATTAATCATATGATGATTAAGAATTACGATAGAGTATACATCTATACAAGCTTTGAACAGCATAAGTGTTTACAATAGCTTACACATTTACATTATTCTAAATACGTATATAACACAATACAAGTGAATAATTTAAATTATTAATGTTACAATATTTTTATATTTAGCTAGAAATTGTGTCTAATGGTAGTGTGTTTTTAGACTTGAGTATTTTAATAGTTGCATCATTATCTATTTTGTATAGAACATCATTTTCTATTGCCATGAGCTAAAATATCTAGTTTACTTAATGATACCCCCTTCTTCTCTTCTACTGTAAATTATTCAGCACATAAATTGTCTGAACGACTGAACATATTGTCAAATAGAAATAAAAATTCAAACTAGTTATGTTTGACGTTGGTTATTTAACTGTGTGTACGATACATACGAATGTGTACGGATAATAGCAGGTCTACCGTAATGTTTGAAAGATATGGGAAAATTGGGAGTTATGGTGAATTTTAATCTTTCTATAGTAATTATTATTAATCCATCGATATTAATAATTTGTGAAAATTGTCGAAGTACATCCTTAGCATAGCCATTTCAATAACTGAGAAACTACTCTTTCGAATTTTGAATTCGGTACATTAAAATAATTTTTAAAAAAAACTATCCACTAAATAATGAACAAAAAAAAATTGCTGTTCTCATTTAAAAAACCGAAGTTTGTATCGTCGCAGGAAATCATTAAATAGAACGAAAAAATAACAATCTCAATAATTTGAAAATATGGTTATAATTATAGATATGTTTGAAAATTCCAAAAATCAAAATTTGAAAAAATTCATCATTAAAGGAAACAATGAGAGTGATGCTGCTGCTTGGTAAATCACCTTGTATATTCGAAATCGCACATTTCGCGTGTACTTTGAATATGGTGTATTTCGCGTTGCTCTCGACGAGGCGTTAATATAAAACATAAGAGCGGCGATCCGGAATTGTACATAATCGCCTGGCAGTGTCACGCAGCAAACTTTAAATTGTACGTTCGCAGTCGTGAACACCGCGAGACGAATTCCCTCATTGCCCAACAGCATTTTAATATTATGTCATAGTGTTTGTGTGTGCGTCCGCGTGCGGTAGACTGAACGTCCAGTTTAGATCGAAACACGTCACACACGATGCCCGTCGCCGTATATATATATAGGTACGTTATTGTACACTATCACATCATCACGATAAATAATAATATTGCTGTACGCGAACGCGATAATATTATTTTATACACAATTATTATTATCATGAATAAGCTGCTTATTATGCGTCTGAAAAAATAATCTTTGTGACACATATTAACATGGAAGTATATTATGCATGATGTACGAATATAATCGCAACGTTAAGACAATAAGACGTCTACCTCTGGCCAAACCCGGAGCAAACCTGTTTCACGTTGCGCACTCGTCGCCGGACCGTCGTCGTCGGCGGAGGTTAGAATAATATTTACCGCTGTCTGCTGCAGTCCGCGTCCGTGACCAGAGCGCATCGGCACCCGCGGCGGCATTGAAATTTTCAGCAAATTTTCATTCCGCGGTTTTCGGGAAATTCAAACAGATTTCTTCGAATTTTCACACGCTATATGGTGGACATCGACAACGTGCTGGTGACACTGGGCATGGGCCGTTACCAGTTCATGGGTTGCATTTTGTTCGGCCTAATGATAATGTATTCAAACGTGTCACCGGTCGCCTACGTCTTCACGGCCAGTGATTTGAAATACAGGTAAACGGGTGAAAAACACATTATCGATTAGGTACATTCGAATATTATACTCTGAGCACGTATCCCTGGAACAGTTCCTTTGATGTGCATTAGTGCATTACCATAAACCGTCTAATCAGATCAGACTACATGAGTTTTATGGGTGCATTATATACAGATACACACCAATACTAAACGGGTTATAATTCTTATTGAGATGTGGAACCGAGAGAGGTAAACGCAAACCTGTAGTTGTTTTAAACAAAACAAAAACTAAAGAACCGAAACGAAATGATACTCGGTGGAGCAAATGCGCAATTTCAACGAAAATACTGTGAGTGCTTCAGCATTATTAAAACTATATTTAAATATACCTATTTTAAACTCTAAGCGATGCGATGAATGTAATTGGTCTTACAATGTGTTCTTTATTTTCGTTCGTCTGTAGACAGCTTTTTGAGGTGTAAAAATGATTTACTCTTGAATTTATTGAGGCTGATAGAGAAAAATTAGATGTAGTTGGTACTTTGGGGTAAGGGATCAAAAATAAAAATTTCCAGTAATTTGCATAATAATCGGTAAAATATTTTTAAAAATATACTAAAAACGAGAATATTCAGCGTTTAAAGTTCAAAAATTAAAATTTGAAACAGTCCACTATTACTTATATTATAATTTTCAAAATATTCAGACTAATTTTAAGCTATTTATGGGTGTTTGAAATTTCTATAAATGTCAATAAGAATATTTATACTTTGTCAAAAAACTTGAACATTTCGTACAATCTTCCTTATAATAAGTTATACTTTTAGAAATTTAAAAGTAATACATAGGCACAATTTACTTTTATATACGTTTTAAGTAAAACAATTTAAAAACTGATAGTCTTATATTATTATGTAAGCTCCAGAATGGAGAATTGATTAATCTTACAATTCCGTGTTGATGTCAACAGTACGGTTTTACATCCAAACTGACTACATTACAATAATTATAATACTATAGTTACTGCCAATTTTATCACATATTCACTTGAGAAATTGATGACGTAGGTTACATCATATTTTAATTTTATATAATTTATTAGTTTTCACTACAATTATTTTACCGTACGGGGTAGCCATTATGTTAATATTCTATTTAAATAACTTTAATTGCTTACATTTTATTGTATATTTAACAATTAACAATGACATTTAGAACTGATATAATTATTCTAAATCTATATATCAGCACTTATATCATGCATTTAATATGAAATTTAAAAAAAAAATACAGATAAGTTATGTTTTACATAGTAAGCGACCAATAATTTCTATAACTACCAAGTACTCATTAATGTTATACATATTTTGTACTTTTGGTATTTGGATAGTAAATATTATAAACTATGTTTCAATCCCGGGTCCAATGAATATTTTATTTACTTAACGGGAACTTAAAAAATAAAAATTTGATATTAATTGATGGATTATATAAAAATATTGCACTAATTTTGTCTTGCTTTCCTGAACATTTTTGACATTTGACGCTTCCAACTTTTTGGCCTTGGAGTTTTATATCTCATAGACTTAAAAAATTCAATTGTTGGTCATGTATAATTATTTTATGGTTTGTAGAGATTTCAATTCGACACAAATATTTACATTAATTATTTAATTTTTTTTAGATATTTTATTTCTGTGGGGAATAATATGAAAAAAATCGAGTTGAAGTTACGTTTTTTTATACGTTTTATCTTTTACTTATCGCCAAATTTCGTCTTCCATTTGAAAGAAATACTTCATCTGACCATGAAATAATATATATATGTATATCTATTGTACCTATAATTGTATTCGTATTTTCATTACTTGTACGAGTATGATAAATTTCTTTAGAAACTAGTTTTTGGAAAAATTCAAGTTTAAACCTATAATCGGATTTTTAATATGGTAGTTAATTGGTTCTACTGTAGTGTTACTCAAATTAACCAATAGTGATTTTTGGTCGTGTGCTTACATACTTTATTGGTATAATTTTTTTTTTAATTTCTACCCAAAAATATTATAACGATTACGTATGAAAATTAGTTATGATATGATAATGACATGTATAATGTTAAAAAACCGAAATATTTAAACATCTATTTTTATTTTATATGAGGAGGGAGTATAGATTACAGATATACCAATAAAAAAATAATGCATTATTACACATTTCTTAGTGCGAGTAAATAGATAAAACGAAAAAAATTAATTAACTGTTGAGTAAAAAACGATTTTTGTAGGTACACGTAAAAATAAAATAACTGCTACATATAATATCTCTGTGAATCTCTGAACTAACTATAGGATGATTTGCGGGAATCACCAATCACTGCAATCGGCAAAATAAACAAACAAAATAAACTATAAACTACAATGCAATTAATAAATTAATATAGGGTGCTTAAACACCGAGAAGAACATACGGCAACTGTTCGAAGCTCGTCTAAACGTTTAATGATCGTTTATCAGATATTCTATATTTGCAGTGCATCGACGTATTAAGAAAATTAGTGTAGTGGATTTAAATAATACAATGTATTAAATCAAAAATAACAAGGAAGTGGTGGCAAGAATTTATTGGTTTATAAGAATTCCAGATGTGTAAGAATGGCATGTGAAAGGGGTCGAATTAGGAGGTCGATGAACTATCATAAGTAAAATATGAGGGGACAACTTATATGTGTGTAGTGTTTTTTATTTATCTTATGAATACCTCACAATGGGACGCTAATGTGCAACATGAGTTAACCGGAGAATTAAAAATGATATATAGGGGTTTTGTATAATTGTATATTAAATGTATACTAACCAAGTACTATAGTAAATTTTAGTCTGAAGTTTATATTTAATGTTTGATAATTGAATATATGATCTAAATGATATTACTTAAACTTAAATATTTTAATTAGTACTAATTAGGCTTTACGACACTACCACGTAACCTGTCGCGGGCCGATTGACATTCGAAAGTATCCTGAGCTTGACATTTGACTTTACTGTGTTTAATGTATAATAATTTTAAGTTAAATTAATATTAGATTATCTGATTATAACACTAATTAATTTACAATTAATCACAACACTCACTACTTTGTCACAATAAATATTTAACTATAGTTATGCTATAACTTAGTGCATTACATATACCTGATGTTTGAATAATCCAACGAATTGAAATGTGTCAAAGCAAATACTCTCTTAAATAGCCAAAAAATATTTATTTGAATATCAGAGTTTAGTACATAATATGTATAATGACAATTACCAATGAAGCACCGGTGACAATAATTCTGTGTGTGGTTGGCTTCTGGATCGTTCGTAAATGTGTATAATATCAAAGATGAATGTATTAATTAATTAATTAAAATACATTAATTAATGTATATTAAAATATATTGTATGCCGTTATTTTGTATTCCTGCCTATGTACACTAGTCACACCAGTGGACTATTTTGTCTTTTTTATTAAAACACGTGAACCGAATGTTATATATTACAGTAGGTATTGCAATGAGTCCACATCTATTTAGGCGCATGAGCTGCGAGCACGACGTCGGTATCCTTGAGCAGGATGGAAAAAATTAGGACAATATTTGTATATAAGTTGTAAAATCACGGTCACCTGTACCTTGAATTCTCCTAAGAGAAAAAGGTCCACAAATATTTAACAGACACCTACTTGTTGTTACTGTAGGTGCGAAATACCGGAATGCGACGGTCCGAACCTGGAAGGACGTACTTACGAGCCTAAATGGTTGCGGTTCACGACGCCTTACAGAAACGACACGAATCAGCCTCGCAAGTGTCTGCGGTATGCTGTGTTGTCTGGTCCGCTAATAAACGGTACACGTTGCTTGTCCGGTGGATTCAACGAAAGTGCGACCGAGTGGTGTCGCAATAACTGGGTGTTCGAAGACTTCGAAAACACCATCGGCAAGGAGGTACGTATAAATGGTTCCATAACATTGCTATGGTAAAAAGCGTGTGACTACCCGTAACCGCAGTATGTCGTTTTCCAGAAGGAACTTTTTGATTTCTACAATTTCGAAAACCTAACAATTTTATACTTCACAGTGAAATTAAATAATAAGCTAAAAACTTCATTTGTAATAGGTATAACATTATAAAAAATTATGTAATCAAAACTAATTCGATATAAAATATTAATATAAATTAATTATATTATAAAATTAAACCTTTATTTAAAATAATATTTGTCTTATAAAAATTCAGCTGTCGATATGAATGTAAATAAAATAACATTCTAACAAACAATATTATATTAGGCACATACATTTTTATTTTTTTCTAGAAATCGGAATACCAAAAATATTTTACTTTAATATATAACATCTAATTAATTAAAACTTAACTATAGGTACTATAATATTCACATAATAATAACTACTTATATTGTATCATAGTTTTTTTTCTGAAAATATTGATGAATTTATTATGAATGTATTATGAATTTATTTACAAAATACACATATTATTAACATTATTATTATTTTTATACAAATATTAAATCTTGTATATAAGGCGTATGCTAAAAATTAAAAACCTAGTGTCTATAATCTATATTACAAAAACTACCCCACACAAATTTTTAATATATGCACATTATTATTACGTAGTTTGGACTCATGTGCGAGGATAACAAATGGAAGCTATCAATGGTAGGTACGATCAACAACTTCGGTCAATTTATCGGAATACCATTGTCAGGGATCATTGCTGACTGGTGAGTATTAAATACATCTGAAATCTTAAAGTTTTTGCAACTTTACAAGACAAAAAAAATTTGATTTCTTGTTATAGATAGTGTCTCCTATAAATTAAATATAATTTTACCAAAATGTGAGATAGTAATTATAAGTGCAGCTTCTAGGAAGTCAAACCCGCGTCCCGTGTGTGTTTCTCCATCTTACAAACTATAAAACCTAGCCAGTACTCAGTGGGTATCCGACGACCTGTTGAAATATGTCTAATGCATGTTGCTATATACACCCATATCACACACTGATACCAGTGACGAAAGCAGAAAAAAACAAGGGGGGGGGGGGGTGTTGAAACTTTTAAATTTTTTTGTTAGTTGTACATTTGATGGTCAGATAATTTATTTTTTGTTCCTGACATTTGGGGGGTTCCCCCTCCTTCACCCTCATGAATTCGCCGCTGACTGATACACTTTAAATATACACAATTTTATTAATATAAATCATACACATTAATTACGTACATCAAACGTCTAATAACTATAGGTGTTCTATTTCAAATATCAATATCATAATATAGCACATAATGATATTAACACTCATTACTGCCTGAATTATTGTTGCATGCCTCCGATATTTTTTAACGTGAGACAATCGTAAATACAAAATGTACCACAATCATTGATTTTTTTTTTTGACGTAATTTTAAAAAATAAGGATCTTACAAATCACTTTATGTTATGCACATAACATACTCGTAATATATGGTTAACAGTTGTTACACACAACTACACAAGTATTGAGTATTTATGTATAAAATCACTATTTAACTATACATACCACGACTCAGTGCTGACTCTATGATTTTCGAGGTCTGTGAAATGTACAAATGAGAGGCCCTTACGTTAGGTCAGAATGACCAGTACAACTAAAAAATCGTAGCTTCTGTTCCTGTAATTCTATGCGTCCTTCTGTTCAGTTTAAGAGTATACTAATACGCACAATCTCCATTCTCCGTAGATATCAAGAATAGATACAATATAAAAATATTTTTCTTATAATATAATACCTAAGACTAAACCCGTTCTAGTGGCGTACGCACTGTACCTACGGCTGGGAGGAGGGTTATTGTAGCCCAGGAAAGGCACCGGATTCCAGAAAATGGTAAACGTACTTTAATCTATATTTTAATATAAACAATTCATACAGTAAAGTCACAGAAAAAAAGTAACGTTAAACCATGAATAAGATTTGTTGAGAACCTTAAGCTTGCATCGAAGACTTACATAGTACCTATCATTATTATGTACGTACCTAGTGTATGAATGGGAGAAATACGGTAGCTCATTCGGCACTTTACATTTTAAACAATTATACCTACGCATACAATTTATTAAAAACCTATGCGTGCGAAGCATTAGAGAAATTTTCACGTGTATGACATGAACGTATCGACTTATCGTACCTAATATAAGATGTACAGGGTAACGTCGCATTTTTTCTATAGCATTGCGTCAGCACGTGGTTAATCAGTCCTGGTGCTTTAATGATAGTTATAATCTTTAGGTACCGTAGAGTGCAGACAGTTTTAACCAAAAAACACGTTTTCAAAGAAATGAATACCGAAGGTTATACTTATACTTATACACACTATCGTTAAGGAATGACTCGAATGTAGATGAGACACTTTTATCTATGTGTAATAGCGAGTTGTATTTTTTTTTAAACTGATATTCTTTTATGTAACATTACATTGAAATTCTAATATAATATGATGTACCTTGTTTTACCTAAATAGTGTATATGTGTGATTACTGATGGTGTCTTAAAAGCAAACACTAATTTTCTCCAGAAAAAAAGTCTATATCTTTGAAAAGGTTATTTTTCATACATCATTTTAAGTCATTACAAAACAATATTTTTGAAAGAAAATTGTATTTTCATAATTTTTTATTATTACCTACCATAATTTTATGACTACATACATTTTTTTTATTTCATAATCATAAGTTAAATATTTATCTGAGGATTTCAATGTTTAAAAATCAAATTTCTAACTTGTATAGTTGATTGATAATGAGTTATAGCTTATAAATATTTAAAGTTTAGAGGAGTAGTGGCACAACTGCAAAGGCAGCTCTAAGGGGCACAAGTGACCACGGCCCCCTCACGAGTCCGTATTTCTCCAAGAATGTATACTGTTAAAAACAAAGTTACAAAAGAAAACATATTATATCGTAATATCGAAAGTTTTCTGAAAATTATCACTTAGTGACAGTACTTTTCAAGAAAATGGTAAATGAGTTATGTTAATCACCTTGTTTAGCATGAAGAACTCTGCTATATTGTATTCTTTTGCTATATTATATAATAGGTATGGTTAAAAATGTTCAAATACTTACAAATTTTTGAAGGTACGGCCGAAAATTTACCATGGTGTTTTGTGCAGTTTTATCGGCCACCTTAAGTATCATCCAGTCGTTTTCAAACAGTTATTCGATGTTCATGGTCTTAGAATTTTTGTCTTCGATCATCTCCAGTGGAATTTACACGGTTACTTTTATATTAGGTACGTAAATCGTCAGATCCTCAAATTTTGGAACCACGGTTAACCGATGAAATACACTGGTATACTATGAAATTTTATAAATATCTATTATACTTTTCAAATGTCCTGCGTGCAGTTCCAAGACATATGTATTGCACTGAATGTCTGAATGTACAATAATGTGACGTGTGAATTAAAATGAATATTTTCTTTAATTATAGCAATGGAGCTGTTTTTGCCACACCAGCGTGTACTGTATTATTCGGTTCTAGAATGTTTCCTACCGGTTGGCTCTATTCTAGTGGCTTATACCGCCAAAATAGTGCAAGACTGGAGGATTTTGTTGCGGCTAATCAACATCCCGGGATTGCTGTTCTTGTCATACTTTTGGTTATTATCTTGGAACTATTTTTCTTAGCAACGACTAAAACGATATATATTTCATTTTTTTACACAGGCTAACAGAAGAATCGATGAGGTGGTTGGAAAGTCAAGGCAAACACGACCAAGTGATCAACGCGCTCAAGAAAATAGCTGCTGTCAATAAAAAGCCTTTTCCTGACCTCCCTACAAACACCCAAGTGCAGGTGATATTATTGAAAACTAAATCAACATTGTATTATACTGTAACACTTGTCCAAGCGGGCGTAACACGTTTCCAACAAAAGTGTAACTTTCCCTTTTCCACAAATACTCGTGTCCACCAAATGAGATATTGACCACGTTTCCTCCAAGACAAGTTCTATATACTACGCTTATAAGTTACATTAAAAGCTGTTAAAATGTAATAAATTAATATACAACATAATTAAAAATCGTTTTTTTTTTATCAAATTTAGACATTTGACAATTTTGAAAATTTTGACTATTATAAACATTTTATTGTTATAAAGTAACATATACATTTATATTATGTTGTATATTAATTTATTGCTTTATAACAGCTTTTAACATAACTTATATAGCCAGTATATAACTCGTCTTGGTGGAAACGAGTATTGGTGGAAAAGGGAAAGGTACACTTTTAGTGGAAACGGGTCATGGTGGAAAAAGGAATGGTACACTTTTGGTGGAAACGGGTACCGGCCGTCTAAGCATATACGCTCTGTCTGTAATACAGTTGTTGAAATTCGATTTTTAATCACTAAACGAATCGAACGCATTAAAAATATAATATATTGACTTTCACAGAGCGTGGACAGTTTGGACGATCAAGACTCAAATTTCAGCAGTATCATCAAAGACATTATCCGCTCTTCGACAATATTTTGGAGGATGATTAGGTGTTCGTATGTGTGGTAAGATCGCTATTTACGGTTTTTTCATGACATGTGCACATTTACACACACATAGCAAAGTGCACAGTGCACACTGCACACTTAATAATTGATAAATTTAAAATCTACGTGTAACCAAATAAGAATAGTGTTCACCTTATCAGTATAGTAGGTATTTACTATTTTGCTCAAACATCTAGATTTTTGTCTTACCAACTGACTATACCTAGTCGTGTTAGCCAGAGTCATTCTGTAAAAACAATAATTCTCCTTCGATTTGCAGTGAAGAACCACGTAAAAAATTGAACCTTAAACATTTTTAAGTTAGCTAGTGATTTATGAAAAAAAGGTTTTCGTAATTCATAAAAATAGCTTTTCCAATAACAATTAACGAAAAATCAAATATTTCCAAATGTTTTTTCCTCACAATATTTTGGGTTAAAAAAATGTACACTAATTTTCTATATTGTTTATACCTAATATATACGTATTGGAAGTGTTGAGAACTGAGAAGGGACTTGTTTCAAAAGTAAACCGATTCCTGGAACTAATTATTTTTGTAGGAACGAAGCCTGGAACTACTTCCTTAAAAAGAAAAAAAAGAAAATGAACGAATTCTTTTTTTAGGAACATGAACAAAAATCACAGTTCTTTTAAATCTTAAAAAATATATTTTAAATTGTACTATAGATTTCTTTTTCTTTCTACGCTTTAATAAGTCAAAAGATATTTTTAGTTAATTCGCGGTTAATTCATTGATCATTGTTCTTCACCTAACATTACAAATAAAAGTTATTATTCTAAAACCGCAATTTTTTTTAATAACTTGGTTAAAAAAAGGAACGAAAATTGGAATGAATTATTTTTTTAGAGGAACTGGATTCGGAGCAAGTTCTTTCTTTGAATAAGGATCAAGGATCTGGAACAAGTTCTTATGTTAAGAAATAGATGGGGAACGGAACGAGATTCTTTTAAAAAGGAACTTTTCCAACACTGCGTATTGGTATTTCTATACATGTACATTTATAAAACAAACGGAAACTAACAATGAACCACATGATAAACTATATAACACGCCTATATTTTGATTACCTACCATTATGGCACAATATTAATCTTCAAAAAAAACTTTAAATATTCATTGTATACGGTATGATCCTTTTAACGTAAGACAGTCTTTATCTCAGAAAATACTTTATGAGTAAAAATCGTTTTTTCTAAGTTGCTCACTCTTTTGAACGACATCGTAATTTTTACTATTATTGTTATATTATTATTCAAGTATAAAATGTTGGGGTGAGGTGAGCATGCTTGGTGAATCGCCTGTATATTATAATTTCAAGGTACTATATTGACGCGTGCAGTTTTACTTATTGAAAATTGTGTATTTTTTTACCTCTGCCAGGATAGCGGTCACCCTTGTATACTACGGCCTGACGATTAGCTCGACGGACATCGCCGGAGACAAATATCTGAACTTCTCGTTGGTGTTGTTCGTCGAGATCCCGGCTTGTCTGTTGAACTGGTTGATAATGGAAGGCATGTCAAGAAAAATGTCACTCTGTTGCATGTTTGTGTTCAGCGGCGTCACTTGCGTCACGTACAACTTGATGCCCAGCGGTGAGTAATAATAATTACCTACTAATGAGCATTACATTTGAGTGGAATTTTTCGCACATAAAACAGACGTCCTACGATGTACACAGTATTGTACCTATACCATATTACTATACAGAGTGATCCATTTAAAGTACAACGATTATTATTTAAAAAGAAAAAACACTGACGTTTTTAAAAACATTTCTTTAAGATAATTTTAACTTTTAAGTTGTCACAAAACTACATTTTTGGAGAACAAATTCTGTTCTTACTATTTTTTATCGTCATTATTCTTAATGCGTTAAGTAATAAACTTATAACTAATAATATTATCTCGTTGCTTTTTTTTTCTAAAAACAGAATTATACTTGATAAAGCTGTCGCTGTTCTTGGTCAGTAAGCTCGCGATATCCATCGCGTTTTGCATCATTTACATGCTGACCGCGGAGATATTCCCCACCAGGATGCGAGCCACCATGATGTCCATGTGCTCCATGCTGGGTCGGATAGGGTCCATGTTGTCGCCTCAGGCCACGTTGCTGGTAAGTGTATTTCGTGACGTCACGGACATTGTATGCATATAAGGGCAAGTATGTAGATGCTACCCACTCACACATAGGATAACAAAACCTGCCAGTGACGTACCTAAGATTTTTTCTAGGGGTGATATGACCAAAATTTTTTTCACATTAGAAGCCAGGGGACCGATATCGCCTGGGCGGGCTAGGATATTTGTAACCCTGGCTCCTCCTCTTGTTATCTTACCTTTCCGTTAAGTGCACTTGCATTGACCATGATTTTACTTCAAACTATACCAACACTTATAATATTATACATTTATTTAATAAATAAAAAAAAAAAACTCTAGCGGGTGAATGATCATTCAGATAAACCCCCTTAAATAAATTATATTTTATTATATACTACATTTATTGTTACCTAGGTACTATAAAATATATTCATATTATTTTACAGTATTAATTGGCATTAATTATGTAACAGGTAACATATTTGTATATTTATGTGATATAAGATATTAGTTAACCGTCTTAACCGCTATAACTTCCATCAATCAATGAAATATAGTGGCTTGGTGAGGCACGGTCATACGCTCAATGTGCGGCAATGCTCAGAGCGTACGTACCCACCGTTGTTGCTAGCACTCGGATGGGTGACCATCCGGGTTTTTAGCAACACATCCTTGCCACACATACAAACGTGTTCCAACTAACCTCCCCCCCCCCCACAGAACCAGGCCAATGACCTTAGTAGTTGAAGCTTTAATCAAAAAAAAAAAAAATGAAATGTAATATATGATCTTCCCAGTTACCTTATTACGTACAATTAATACAACATACGTTTTGTTACCATTGTGCTGTTTGCTGACTTCTGGAGTAAATCAGTTAAATATTTTCTATTGTATATAATGCTAATTTATCACACTGAATTAAAAACAAAACATATTGCTGAAATACTTATTAAAAAAACCTTACACCCTATAGCCAAAAATGATCTACCCCCCTTAAATAACCTACTGAACGCAACTGATGCTACTGGACGTAATAAAATCATAACTAGTATAGTAGAATAAATAATAATGTGAGGCGCAAGTATAAATATGTTATATTATATAATAAAATATAAAAAATATTATTTAAATTAAATTTTTATATTTTCATATAAGAAAAAGTCCATTCCAAGCACTGAATAATGTCTCGCGCATCGTAAAATCAGAGAAAACTTTCGTTTGTACTCACCGCTGCTAATGCCGCGTGTGCAGCACAGTGCTCATTACTACTACTCTGGGTGTCCCAAGTGGCCCTCCCCCAAGTCCACTTTTAATGGTCGACGAGTCGGGTTAACCGTGAAATATTGCTTTCAGACGGAGTACTTCGGCGTGTACGCGACAATGCTCGTGTTCGGCATGACCGCTCTGGCGGCCGCGGCCATCACGATGACTCTGCCGGAAAGTAAAAACATCAAATTGCCCGACACCATCGACGAAGCCAAAGGGATCGGTACCGATGTCAAGCCAAAAATCATTGACAAAAACTCGCCGTAGAGTTCCTATTACCACTGTACAATAATAATTATGCATAACAATATGGTCGATTTCGGCATAACATTGTTATTAGGTATTATTTATTATACGTTTATATACGCGACCGAGACAGGTTTTTAGTGTCGCAGTAATATGTATAGATACGATTATTACGCACCGACCGCCAGTTAATTTACTATGTGCGCCTACGGTATCCGGTTTGGGGGCGCACACTCGTTCGAAAGAGCAGGTGATAACTGATCAAGCCCTCAGTCATCACCCCGTTGACTTAATATTAATGAAAACGACTTAGTTTAATTTGTGTACCGATATTATATCATGAGTTATAATCGCGCTGTTATTTACATTGTTTAGTTTAGCGGCTTTCTAATAATATTTGACAGACTTTTTTTTTTAATTCTTATACACAAGTATTTTAACACAGTTGTTAACATTTAGTCATTGTAAATACCACTCATTTTTTACTGTTACGACCTGGTGTAAAGATACCTAATTGAAAGCCATAGAACTATACGGTTTGACTCTGTACGCTCACGCTATATGACTACTATGATATTAAACCTATACGAATTTGTAAGTATGCAGAAATATGTTTATTAGTGTCAATAAATAAACTAAATAAGTAACTCTCTGCCTATTGTTCTACATAACTAATGCTGCTTCCAATTATTTATTCAAAAATTAAATAAATACAACACAATATTCAGTTCTACAAAAATATCATATTTTTTAGTTACAATGTAAATTCGAACGAAGAAATATACAACTTATAAGTAGATATTTAAAAAAACATCTCTTTTTTCATAAGAACTAAATCAATCATGGATATTTGCCTAAAATAATTAAATTTGATAATAAAGTGTTTTTCATAACATGTTCATAAAACTGATGGTAAGTAAAAGACATGAATCTACTGAGTACATATAGGTACTCTATATTATAAATTATACCTAATAATATTATCTATTATTAATTAGTTATACGAGTAAAACAACAGTTGTATTTTATAATACAATGTTTTAATTAGCTCAATATTATTTAAATAGTATCAAGTATATAATTGGTAAATATGATGGTCAGCTTTGTTGTTGTTGAAAATGCAAGAAATTCCTGCATATTTTTCATTTCAAAATTTGATGAAAAGTGAAATAAAATTATGTTTAAATTACATTTTTTTCATAGCCCATTGGGTCGTCTTAGTTTCACAAAAACTTTTAAATATAGTTATAATTATATTTATGATATATATATTTATTTATAAAATATGTAAATAATTGAGAAAATAAAAAAAATTTGGAGATCAAATACAAATGTTTTATAAATTACTTATGTTATGCTATACATTAGGTACTCCATTCTTCCAGAAAATAAATGATATATTTTTTTATTTACAAAAATTGAAAGATTATTTTCAAGTTCATAGACAAAACTGTTAATAATCTATCTAATATCACAATGTCAGTAAGTGAATTGATGGCAGATAATACTAAACAGCAAACAACTTTCCAATTCAAAAATGTTGCATTAACTATCATTTTTAAGCATTTCATTATTTATTTTGAGTGAAAATATTCATCATGAGCAACAAAGATTTATTAAATACATTCAATCAAATCTATTAAAATAAATTACAATTTAAGTTACCATACATAGTTAATCCTTAAGAGGATCGATGGCGGACTGTTATTTTAGCCAAAACATACCAATCTTTTGTCCATCATACTTATCAACCTAGTAATACAATAACACCTTATAGAACTGATTTGAATTTTTATTATGTCTACTTGAGATCGGTCAGTCTAATTTTCCCAATTTCCCCCCACCCCTAAACCCTACAACTTTAAATTTATTTTGAGTATTTTTGAAATTTTGGTATTTTTAAAAGTTGATTATTCGGAATTTAATTCAGACATCTTAAAATGTGGACTGACCGATCTCAAGTAGACATTACAATAAATTCAGATCAGTTTGCTAAAATATCATAGCATTATTAGCAGTGGTGTTTTGGAGGGTATACGCGAGTATACGACGTATACCCGTGAACCATCCTGGTGATTTAGCGTATACTTTATAAAAGTAACACCAATACGCAAGTATACGCACGTATACGCTCGTATACCTACTTCATAAATAGAAATAAAATCCATAGGGCATACGTTTATTTTTAGAAAATTTGTTATTGGTATGTTAATAATAACATTGATAATTGATTATTATTTATAGCTATCGATTATCGTCTAGCTTTATTCACGAGGTATCAAATTATAATATCTACAATCGGCTGTTGACATTTCGGGTCCGCTTCAGAATCAGCTCAAAGATCGCTCAAAAAAATACGATCAGGACAAAAATTGATTAGGATTGTTAAATTACATGACCGAGATATTGGAGAAAAAAAAAACTGGAACGATATTTCATAAAAACATTCATATGTAGGAAATACAATTTTAGGAAATATTTTTTTCAGGAACTATCAAAATCGGGAATTTAATTTTTAGGAAAATATAGCACAGGAACTGTCAAATTCAGGAAAGAATCGAAATCAAGACAAATAACTAAGAATTAAATTAATTAGGATTGAAAAAATTCATGATCAATATTTTAAAGGCACGAAAAACTGACGAATTGATGAGATATATATATATCCTTATTCAGGGGCTTCATTTAAACTTTTTTTGTTTGGGGGGAGGGGGGACTGTGTTTTGACAAAAACAGTAGAATATTTGTCTAATTTATTTAATATATCACTTATATTAGTATGAAAATATCACAATATTGTTACAATTTTTGACGAAGTATAAGTGTAGGTACTTTTAAGGTATTAATTTTATAATTTAAACACCACTGGACAGTGATGGTATTTATTATTTACACTGGCTAAATAAATGTATGGGTATAAAACACCTTTATAATAAAATATCTAACTGAACCTAACAAAGTAGCAAAATCAAAACTTGCAGAAGACACTAGGACCAAAATAGCAAGATATAATATAGACGAAAGTGAGAGCAAAGTTGTCAAAAAGAGTCTATGGGAAATTTTGTAAATTATTTTTCAACTTTTGTTATGATTTTGAGTTCAATATAATCATATTTTATTTGTTAATTTGTTACCCATTTAAAAAAAGGAAGTTATTTTTACTATTTTTTATTAAATTACTATTAAATGTTGCTAAACCTTTTCCACTCACTAATACAAAATTGTTATTTATATAACCCCTGTCCCCTAATACACTTTAATATACCTAAAACTTGTTTGAAAAAAAAAATGATATTTTTTATTCCTTTTTATTATGAATTCTGTTAAAGTTAATTGTATATATTTTATAATTGTTGTAGTTACTTATTTTACTATTACAAGATTATGCTTTTATTTGACAATTATATTTATATTTTTTGCCTTTAAAATCGGGCAATTATTAAACTTTCCGTAGAAGCTTTAAATACTTAGATAAATCAAGAAATAATATTTTATAAAATCAATACATATTTTTTTTTTTGTTATAAAACTGTGTAGGCACTTACAGTGAACATGAGATCCAGAGGAGATCTGAATACTCGTGAGCGTCGTTTTGAGTTGTAAATCTGATAAGTTTTGATCCTAATAAATACACAATAGTCATTGTCATAAATTCTTAAAACGCGTATACCCTCTAGTTCTTTTACCATAACACCACTGATTATTAGGTTGATCAGTAGGATAGACAAGAAGTGCATCAAATGAGCATAAATTGTTTACCGTTCAGTAGTGCAACACCAAGTAGATGACTTGTACATGCCATGCTGGAACGCACCACTATTTCTTTTACACAGTCACACAAACTAACCATCACTTACTACGCACACATTTACAAGACCCACATGTAAGCAATTTGAAAATTGCCTATAACAAACTCCTGAAAAACTGTACAACATTGATCCCCTTAAAATTGATCACAAAGAAATTTAATACAGGTAAATCAAACGCACACCACTTGTTCGAAAAAAAATGGATTCTTGGTACTGTGATCCTATGGAGTATAAAAGTGACTATACACCAAATGAAAAATATAAAAATACTGATTTAACTATAGAATAGTCTATCATTATTTAAAAATTATTTTAATATGTAAATAAAATTAAATGTAGTTATTTAAAATATTATAGTAAAACTATTTGCTTGTGGCTCTTATTGTTTAAATTAAGCTTGAAAACAAAAATATTATTTTTTTTATCTTTTCTAAGTGCAACTGTTGCAATACAATTATTCAAATAACAATTCAAAGAAAATTAGTAACTTCACATTTTGTAAATAACTTACACAGAAAAAATAATAATTGATAGTGTTCTAAAAAGTAGAAATTAAATAAAAGGTAATTAAATAATTAAGAATCCTTTTAATTTATTTATTAGAATTTTACAAAATTGATTCTTAACATTACAAGTAAAAAAAATACTTAGTATTATTATTAAGAGTTAGTAACTTGAATTAGTGGGTAAAAAATAAGATACCAAGTGTGTACAACAAAAAATTACGCGTCGTCATCATTATCAGGTGCACGTCCACCGGGTGCTTTTGGACCACCAGCCCGTTTAGCCATTATGATTTGATCAACTCTCAGTATTGTACATGCGGCTTGTGTGGCATACTGCAAGCCCCAAAACTTGGACAAGTAAGAATCAACAATACCAGCTTTGGTGACGTCTATTAATGATGATCCTTTTGGCTAAAGAAATAATGATAATTACAAATTAATTAAGAATAACAAAAAAATCATACAATAAACATACTTCAATATTAAAACCAGCATTTTTATTTCCCTTGCTATGTTGAGAATAAAGTTCAGCAAGAGTTTCATTGGACTTCACACCAGTGTTGTCAGCTAAAATTTTAACAAAACCTTCAAGAGCAACTGCAAACCTTTTCGCACCATATTGTTCTAATCCAGGCAGTGTGTCGGCATATAAGCCAACTTGGTAGGCAAGTTCCATTTCTATGGCTCCAGCACCAGGTAATAATTTTCCATCCTAAAATGAAATTTAAAACATTTATTTAATTATTTAAAATATTAGAATATACAAAACAAATTATATTTTATTTTTAACATACTCTGGAGATGCCTTTGAATGTATTTACACCATCATCAATTGCTCTTTCAATGTCATCCATGTAGTTATCAGTGGCACCACGTACAACAATTGTTGACATACGAGAGTCTTTACCATCCAAACGGAATACTACTAATGAAGTGTCTCCAAGTTCATCTACATATACACAGTCAGCATAACCAAGTTCTTCTTTGTTTGGAGGAGTCTAAAATTAAATTATTTAATGTTACATTTTTAAGCTTAAATCAAAAAAATTGTATTTTTGATAAATTATTTTTAACCGATTTTAAAATATTTATAGATTTTACAAACAACAAGAAAAATCAGGTATAAGAGTAGATCGAAAATCCTGGATAATTTTACAGCTGGGAGGATTTTTAATAATTTAAAATCAGATCGAAAACTCTTATATTTCTTTAAAAATCATATCCCTGCTAGAAATAAAGGTATAGTATTTAGGCATAGTTACTTACAAGTCTGGGTAAAGCAGTAGCTGAAACGGATTTGCACAATCGTCTCAAGTCGAATTTGCTCATTAAT